ACAAACACTAGTGTTTGCAAAGCAGTGTTGGAAAAATGTCAAGGGGATCTAGTTGCAAATGAACATCAGAAAACACATTGATGTTTGTATCTGTACTTTTTTAAGTAAGAGCATAAGAAATACAGATGCAAACTGTCAAAGCAATGTGTATCACTGAATTACAGATTCATTCATAAATCACTGAATTACAGATTCAATACAGATATTAATGAATCTTTCTCTATCCCCCCTAATCTTTCAATAATATTTACATCATTCTATGCGCCAGATGCATTCTGCTCATGTACTTCCTTTTCTTATGCTTCCCTATGTTAGCAAAAGTGATAGCTTAGAAATCCTTTCTAGAGGATTTATCAAATCTAAAAATTTGATATTTTACAGGTTTAAAGGTGCCTTCACCTGTACATTAGACATTAGTGAATGCCCTGCCATGCCAGGAAAGCTTTTGATGAAAAGCATAATAATGAAAACTTCATTCATATACAGCATTTTGAGATAAGTAAAAAAAAATATGAACAACCAAATGCAAAAGATTAGAGGGAAAGTGGAAGGCTTCACATACTAAGAATTACATCATACCTGAACAGTGGCATTTCTGAACTAACAAAAGGAAAAACCCCACTGGTTTTCCACTGTAGTACATTAAAAGATGATACTTCAGACCACATGTCCTTTGCTATACTTCACATCTTTCTACAAGCATTTAGTGCTTCGAAGGCAAAGTTTATTTTTGATTCAGGATGGTCTGGAGTTTTTAAATACTGTTTAAACTGTGCATTTGTACTTACTTTATTGCCAGTTAACCTAAACCAGGGCAGTTCTTGTGAAATTGGAAATTCAGGGAACCACATTCTGGTGACTTTCATTCTGTCGAATGCTTAAGTGAACTTATCACAGCTGACTGACAGGAATCAATAAACTGGAAAGATGTACAATACAATCCAGACAATGTATTGTATTTGGGCTCCTAAGTGATCTTAAAATTTAAGGCATATAAAAGAATCCTGCTTAATCAGTAAAAAATTCTTAAAACATGCAAAGAATTATTGGGATAACAATTCTGAACCTGTTAAATGATTTTCACATCGCCTAACATTAAGCACTCTCTTTCAACTTGCCTAACTAGAAGGTTAACCTCCCTGCAATTTCTATTTCCACAGGGACCACTTGGTGCAGAAAACAGAACTTATGTGTTCCGGATCACCCTCTGCACAAGGACATATCTCTCAATCACAAAAATTACAAAAAAGGAAAAGTAGGTATCTAACCTGAAACTGTAAATAGTATGGTGCAAACACCCTCCTTTCCCCTCTACTTATGCTCCCAGATCTGCCACTGTATTGCCTACAGGTGTGTTTGAAGCATTTAAGCTCCATTGGCAGAGTAAATTTTGCCATCTCTTTAAAAGGTGTAAAGGAATAAACAATCTTTATTAATATACTTCAGTGTATTTGCTTAAAGTCTTTAATCACAGCATTTCAAAATAATAATAAAAATTCACATTTTTGAATTAGTGAATTACTTCACTAAAGATGATTTTCCTTAAAGTGGAAATACTGTTGGAATAAACACAGTGAAAGCAGGTGCAAACCTCAAACATTGTAAATATGTGATAATCATTACTGAAAACAACTGGAAGATGTTGATTTTTTGCAAGAGTCTCAAAGTTGGCAGACTGCAAAGAAATGAAGATCTGAATCTGAACCTTAGCTATAATACTCAGATAAGGGTAACTTTTTGTCAAAAAAAAAAATCGAGTTTTACCATGGCATTATTTCTCCCATTGCAGTTTTTGTTTTCATCCAACAATCTTTTAAGCCTACTTTCACTTACGCTGTAAAGACTATCCAGACTCAGCAATGCACTGAAATCATTTGGTTGAAATTGTCAAAATTATCTGTAAAATTTCAAAAGCCAGAAACTCCACTCTTGCTTTTATCGTTCTTCCCTTGGGAAGATTTTCTATCACTCCTCAGAAGTCTGCACTTGAAGTGGAGAACTGTCCTTCTATCTCTATCAGAAAATTTCTTGTACGGTGTTGTGCAGGAAATATTTATGATTTTATAAAGCATAGCTTAGGTTTATCTGTAAGTATCTACACAAACACTAGTGTTTGCAAAGCAGTGTTGGAAAAATGTCAAGGGGATCTAGTTGCAAATGAACATCAGAAAACACATTGATGTTTGTATCTGTACTTTTTTAAGTAAGAGCATAAGAAATACAGATGCAAACTGTCAAAGCAATGTGTATCACTGAATTACAGATTCATTCATAAATCACTGAATTACAGATTCAATACAGATATTAATGAATCTTTCTCTATCCCCCCTAATCTTTCAATAATATTTACATCATTCTATGCGCCAGATGCATTCTGCTCATGTACTTCCTTTTCTTATGCTTCCCTATGTTAGCAAAAGTGATAGCTTAGAAATCCTTTCTAGAGGATTTATCAAATCTAAAAATTTGATATTTTACAGGTTTAAAGGTGCCTTCACCTGTACATTAGACATTAGTGAATGCCCTGCCATGCCAGGAAAGCTTTTGATGAAAAGCATAATAATGAAAACTTCATTCATATACAGCATTTTGAGATAAGTAAAAAAAAATATGAACAACCAAATGCAAAAGATTAGAGGGAAAGTGGAAGGCTTCACATACTAAGAATTACATCATACCTGAACAGTGGCATTTCTGAACTAACAAAAGGAAAAACCCCACTGGTTTTCCACTGTAGTACATTAAAAGATGATACTTCAGACCACATGTCCTTTGCTATACTTCACATCTTTCTACAAGCATTTAGTGCTTCGAAGGCAAAGTTTATTTTTGATTCAGGATGGTCTGGAGTTTTTAAATACTGTTTAAACTGTGCATTTGTACTTACTTTATTGCCAGTTAACCTAAACCAGGGCAGTTCTTGTGAAATTGGAAATTCAGGGAACCACATTCTGGTGACTTTCATTCTGTCGAATGCTTAAGTGAACTTATCACAGCTGACTGACAGGAATCAATAAACTGGAAAGACGTACAATACAATCCAGACAATGTATTGTATTTGGGCTCCTAAGTGATCTTAAAATTTAAGGCATATAAAAGAATCCTGCTTAATCAGTAAAAAATTCTTAAAACATGCAAAGAATTATTGGGATAACAATTCTGAACCTGTTAAATGATTTTCACATCGCCTAACATTAAGCACTCTCTTTCAACTTGCCTAACTAGAAGGTTAACCTCCCTGCAATTTCTATTTCCACAGGGACCACTTGGTGCAGAAAACAGAACTTATGTGTTCCGGATCACCCTCTGCACAAGGACATATCTCTCAATCACAAAAATTACAAAAAAGGAAAAGTAGGTATCTAACCTGAAACTGTAAATAGTATGGTGCAAACACCCTCCTTTCCCCTCTACTTATGCTCCCAGATCTGCCACTGTATTGCCTACAGGTGTGTTTGAAGCATTTAAGCTCCATTGGCAGAGTAAATTTTGCCATCTCTTTAAAAGGTGTAAAGGAATAAACAATCTTTATTAATATACTTCAGTGTATTTGCTTAAAGTCTTTAATCACAGCATTTCAAAATAATAATAATTTGCTTAAAGTCTTTAATCACAGCATTTCAAAATAATAATTCGCTGGTCTAAATTCACATTTTTGAATTAGTGAATTACTTCACTAAAGATGATTTTCCTTAAAGTGGAAATACTGTTGGAATAAACACAGTGAAAGCAGGTGCAAACCTCAAACATTGTAAATATGTGATTCTTAAGATGGGTACATTAAAAAAAAAAAATCTGTGCCTCAGCAGGTGAAAAATGTCTCAGGAGGATTCTGTGACAAAACAGATAAAGCTGGATTATAAACAAGAAAGCAAAAAAAAGTGACAGTGGTGTAATTAAGACTGATGGAAATCCTTTCACAGCTATGAATAACTGTAAGTACAATGCTTAACTCTGCCTACAAAACAACATACATAAATCTTGTAAAAACTATCCAGCAGAAACTGCTAACTGGGCAAAATCTCTCATTATTCCTGTTTGTACTGCTGGTTAGATTGCTGTGTCAACATGGGTCCAGTCAACTATGCAGTCACTTTAACAATGAGTATTCATCTCAAATAATTATATTTCTGCCTCATTTTTCAAATTTTGCAGCTTTTTTATTTTCTTATTTCATGTTCCTTTTCTAAGGATCCTGTGATTTTAGTTTTTGCTCTTAGATAGCCTTCACCTCTAATGATTTAAATCTCAAAGTTCTGGGAAACTCTGTGTTGCATTCAAGTGTGAAAATACATCCCTTTCATTCACATAATGCAGAATGCATTCTTTCTTTCAGAAAGCATTACTTCATTGAACATACACAACCAAAGTATGTGAAGAACACAGTAATCATATGAGGATCTGTAGTAATCTTTTCTGGCTGTTGTACTGCTTTTTTTTTTTAATAACCGCTGATGTACACAGTATGAACTCTAAGATGATTATACATTTATTAATCCATTTTCATAAAACAGTAATTCATCAATAGTTTTTGCATCTTTGCAATTCTGTATCAAGTTGAAAATACTATAATACTACAAAGCTCCTCTGTTTTATTTTCCTTTCCATGTGAAACATTTAAGATGACCACTCTCTTTAGTTTTCAGGGACAATGAGTACCTGTATTTCTGGAGAAATGTATTGTCACATGGTGAAGTTTCATGTGTTGTTTAAAGACAGGGCATGCACAAATTATGTCATTTTTAGGAAGTTTTCCCACTATAAAAGCTCCCAAATTTTGACTTTCATTTTACTTAATTAGAGACAATATGCAATTTGTACAAGAAACTTTGTGTGCCACATTATGGGTGTTCTTGAATTTATTTATTTTGTCTGCATTTTTTCATAATGCATTCCTAGCAGTTCTACACAAATGTTAAGCCCAATAAGTATCTAAATGATAATGGCAATGCTGAAATATTTTTATAATAGCTATTAAAAAGAAAAACCATTTTACTTACCAAGCCAGCTTCTGTTTAAATATACTGACACAAACACTGGAGGGACCGTGAAGAAATCTACTACTGAGTTAACTTCTAGCCAAAACCATAGCTTGTCATTGGCTGCTATGAACTGAAAAACAAGATGGGGAGGGATGAAAGAATCAGATTTTGCTGATAGTGGTTGAAAGTATATGCAGTAATTTCCACCCTACAATATTAACCTCCAAAGTTGGTGGAGAAGTAACTGATGGTTTTGGTCAGTCCAGATCATTTATATGATGAGTTGTAATATCTGTTAATTGCTGTAATATCTAAAAATATTTTCTCCACATCTGTTAACAATGTATCAGTAATACTAGAAAAGCGTAGGTAAGTATAAAATATTTCAAAGTATATCATCTTTGCTACAGCACTCCAAATACATTGGAAGTAGTCTTACTGTGTATTTTCTGTCCACGGGTTTCTAAATACATGATAGTTTACAAAGAGTCCCATCATCATCCTATCCAGAGATAATCACCAGGATGACTCCTACAAGGCATAATTCAGGACTGCAGCAGGACTTCAGTCCTTCAAATTGTGCCAGGGATGAGGTCATTTCTCTCTCCTGACTACGACATCAGCCTAGGGAAACTGGCAAACTTAGATGCCAAGGACATCATAGTTAGAACTTGCCTATTCATCTGGGTACTTAAATAAGGTCAAACTACTATTCACATTCAAGTAATAATTAAAACGTATGCTTTATACAAATAAGAAATATAAATATACAAATAAATATTACATTTTAGTGCATCACAAAAAAATTTAATGGAGTGGTTCTACTCATGTAAGTCTTAAAACCTGGACTAACATACTTCAAAATAGTGCTTGTATTTCTAAAATTACAGGCAACATCCAATGTCTTTCGTCCAAAGCAAATTATTTCATTGATATCCTTGCTTTAGAATTACTTTAAAACTTCAACAGAAAATGTTTATGGTGCATATTCTGGAATCCCAGATATAATATTGCAAAGGGGACTCTACTGATATCAAGAATGTTGAAATCATAGTTAAAAAGAAGACAGACAACATGAGCAGCATTTATCTCAGAGAATACTCAAAACCAAGAATAAATTGGCATTTTGTTAGTCTATATTACTCAACATCAATGCTCCAGCATGAAAACTGAACAAAAATATCCAGTTTCAGCAGAAGCTTTCAATTGCCTTCTGTTGAATTCAGAAGTAGCAGAATATTTGGAACCTAAAGCTCTTTAAGGTGTCAGATCAATATTTTCATAACCTGCGATATTTGTTCTAATCAGCATTTTATCTTTCCACAGGGCACAAGCTTTAGGCTTTCAAAAAGGTTAAAGTGTGTTATTCAACAACGAAAACAAAGTCTGTTAACTGTAAAGGCCACTTATACTTTTCTACAGAAGTATTTGAACAGTTAATCATTGAGGTAATTAGGAACTAATAAAAGCCCATTTCATTACAGAAGCAATCCTGCCATACCTGAAGAGATATCATATTCTTCTGGAAGCACTAGCATAATTCTGTTGCATCCAAAGAAGGTTTAGTTCATACAATCATAGAATGGGTCAGGTTGGAAGAGACCTTAAAGATCATCGAGTTCCAACCCCCCTGCCATGAGCAGGGACACCTCCCACTAGACTACTTCCATTCTTGCCATATCTCTACCAAACCCTATTGCTTCTCCTCAGGAACTCCTGTTTAGTTCAGCAGCACTTCTTGGGCAATTGGAGTTACATCTATATTAGCATTTTAATGTAGATAAGTAGTACTAATCTGAAGTGAAACTTTATCATTCCCACTTACCATACTTCAGTTTGCATCACAAAGCAGTTTTGGATAACACAAATCTTTGTTTTGGTTGAAACTAAAACTGAAAAAGGTGTTCTAGCAGTACATACTGTAACTGCTAAAGTGTGTTCAGTCAACAGGACCAGAGTGGACTTTACAGTACTCTCTCCCCCTTCCAAAAAACACACAGTGTGGATATGAAAGTATTAGCATAAACTCTCAGTATATTCTCTTTTCTTGTCCTCTGATTCTTGATAATGTAGCATAAGTTACTGCTTTAAGTAAGTAGGAGTAGCCAATACATAATTTTATGTCTCTTGATAAGAGCATGAAAACCTATTATAGCATAAAATTTACAAAGCATTTTGACACTTCTAAAAAAAGGGTTCTTGGAAGTTCACAGGTACCATGCATTGAATGTTATGTCAAGAAGTTAACCTATATTGCAGGCCTGGTGGGCATCTTTAAAGCTTTTAAACTATCAGACTCCTCAGTGATCTTAGGTACTTATTACCTAAACGTTCTCAATCAAATACTTTGCCTGTGCGTTTTAGAAAGTAGCTTAATTTTGTCCAGTGATTGTAAAGTCAGGCTGTGTTCAAAGACCCTCCTTATCCAACAGCTACATTGGCTCCCTGATTCATTCTATCACAGACACACTACTTACACGCAAGCCGAAGTAGAGTAGGAAGAACACATTGAAAGCCATGTCAATCTGTAACGTGAAATCTTTGTAGAAATTCTGGCAGGATTCTATTGGGCTATTTGAAAGAAAAAAAAAAAAAATCAGAGTAAATTGTCAGTATATGAATTTCTGCTCTGGTGAGATTTTTATGCATTTCATTAAAGACCTTAATTCAGAAATCACGTATCTGTTCTCCAGTCATTTACAAGATACAGGCAAGCATTTCAAATTAATTATTTCATTCATTCAGTTAGTCATTCATATAGTCTTTATATTCACCTGTTCAGGTAATATCTGAGAATTAACATGCAGATACCTTTAAGAAAGGACAAGCAGGAGAATATTTCAGGATTCCTTAACCCCACATTAACCCTTAAAGAACTGACTTCTTTCTATAGGAGACATACCTATGAAACTTTAGGAGCAAACCTAACAAGCACACAGCTATACTGAAACATTACATGTTCTTAATTCATGTCATATAATAAAACCTTAAGAAAAAAAAAAAAAAAAAAGAGTAGTTGCTTAGGAATACATTACCCATTAGCAACCTGGGGTACTTAGTCTTGTAGAATCCCTTGTTTATAAGAAGTTGATTTTGGTTTGGGTTTTTTTTTTTCCTTTTCCTCACTTCTTTTTTTGTGTATGGCTATTTAATGTACTTTATGTACAGTACTACGAACTGAGTAGAAAAGCAGCATAGCCCACTGGTAAAATTAAATAACAAAATAAATTGAGGAATTTGAAGCAGTACTCTAAGGGTTAATTTCTGCATGCAGGTTATTTTAAATACCTTTGTGTGTGTCAAGCAGCCATTGCAAATTCCAGCTTATTATACTATGCTTTATTTAACAGTGGGACAGGTTCAAAGCGTACTCTATACAAACTGGTACTTTATGGATATATTTTTATCTAAGGAAGGAGATAACTTCCACAAATCCCATTAGTGATTTATTTCTGAGATTTCCAAAATAGGTTGGTGAAGCCATAGAATAATGTTGAAGTCACAGACCAAAATGAAAACCATGTCCCAATATATGCTGATGTATATACTATATATACATAATGTCCCACCATATATACATGTATATACACACATATATTGCAAATGATCATGTATACATCACAACTGCAATGAAGCAGAAAACTAGAACGTAGATCATTTGAAACCCTATAAAATATCATTTTAGGAAAAGAAAAAATTCTTTGGCTTCCCATGTCAAATAAATCACTGAGTGTGAATGTAATACCAGTTAGTATAGCGGTACCTCTGCAAATATAATGCTAGACTGCTCAACAAGCAAGATTCTATGCATTATGAATGTCAGTTACCTAATTTAAGGCATAAAGGGAATTACTTGGGCTACCAGGTCATTACACATGCAGCCAAATTTTCCATTCCTTGTATACATTACAGGTCAAACAAATTAAGTACAGCATGCCCTATTCTGTCTTTGGATGCATGAATGTATACAGCAAAATGCTCTTTGATGTATGATGGCTTTATATTTTAAGAAGCTTCAGTACTGCAGGAAATTATATTCCAAAGTTTTTTTAAAAACTATTTGCAAAGACATAGAAGTTATGAAACATTTCTGATAAGTTTCAAATAAAATTGATTTACAAAAGCAGGCAGAAGGAAAGAGAAGCCAAATGCATACAGGACAGAAGAGAGCACCTCGTACTTTACAAATACAGCTTTAGCAACAAAAAGAGTAGATGTAATCTGAGAACCCAACAGGATCATTTTCTGTGTGGCATTCTTGAGAGCAAAGGATTTTGTCAAAACAAGGTGGGCTACACACTGTGTCACTACACACCCTATCAACAGAAATCAAGGAATTACAGCAGAAGCAGAACGAACAACCCTGCATCAACACAGAGGCTTGGACCCCAAATTCCAGGTCAGGTTTCTGTAAAGCCGCAGAAATTCACTGATGCTAATGGAATTGCACAGATTTTTAACTAGGATAGAGAGCTTCATTATCTTCCTTTCCACAGTTATTTTGTACTTGTCACGATTGTTAGATAAGGTCAGCTAAGGTTGCAGCTAACTTTTATGCAATTGTCCTTTACAAAACCTACAAGATCTGACAAATCAGCTAATGCATAGTACATCTTTGTCTAGTTTGCAAAACACTTAGCGCAGGTGCCCACAATCCTGATTTGGGACTTCTGTTTCCCTAATACCAGAGCTACTTTTTTCCTGCTAGTCTTATCCCTAAAGCATCCTCCATTTCAGAGATCATCTCTCTCTTTCAATTTCTAAGTTATCCATTTCAAAGACAAACACGATGGCCTTTCTTTTTTTTTAGTTAAAATTATTTTTTTGTCAGAAAGGCATATCCCTACAGCTAAAGAAATTATTATTTATACTCACAGGATGGATTAAACAAGATTTTAAATTTTCCAAATTAAATTTTTGTGATATTATTCAGCTTGGATTTTTTGGTTTTATCTGTAGCTTGCATTTGAGCTGACAGAAGAATATGGCCACTAAAATTTATGATTGCTGCAGAAAGGAAGCCAATTTGAAACTCCTCTTTACATCAAGTTTCCCCCAAAATAGAAGTGCTGTATTTCTTAGAGTGCCAGACAGTTTTGTGCTGGTGTGCCCAGAACTAATAATATATTCCCCATTTTAAACTAAATCAGATGGCTTTTCCTATGGAATTTCACCCCTTTAGATCAGCAAAGGTTTCACCTGTGGAGGCGGCAACAGACTGGTAGAAAAGCTTTTATTACTCTGCAGTGTAAGCATGCTTTATTCTAAGTGTGGTTTCATGCATTTTACACTGCTAAAAACCAGGAGAAACTACACTAAAATCAATGGAATAACATTATCCTAACAATGACAGGAAACAATTAACGTAACTGGATAAAAATTACAGTAAATATGTAACTCTAAACTCAATATTTATGTGCACTTTGAAAGAGCATCTTTAATTTGCTACACAAAAATTGAAAAAAATCTGCTGTAGACATGACTCCATGCGTTTTGAAAAGAATTCTTGTCACTTCAATTCAAGTGTTTAAATAACTACATTTGTCACAAGAGTCCTGGTTTCAACTGGGAAAGAGTTAATTTTTCTAGTGATTGCTGTGGAGGAATGTCAATGATGTGTATTGTTTTAGTTGTTGCTAGGTGGTGTTTATACTTTTCAAGGACTCTTTTTAGCTTCCCATAGAACCTGAAAAGGAGCATAGAGAGAACAATGGAATATCCAGTGGAATATCCCATACCATAAATGGGGCTTGGCCAGGGGGGGAAATCTGAGATCACTGCTCAGGAAGGTACCAGTTCACCCTGTGGTGAGAGTGACTTGTGTCATTATTATTATTTTTCCTTTTCTGTTATTTTTCTATTATGCTCTCTTTATCTCAACTCACTACTTTTTGTCCTTTCCCTTTCCTCTCCTTTTTTCCCCTCTTCTTCTTACCTTCTAGGAGGAAGAGGGACAACTGCACAAGCCACTGCACGGTCCTAGCTGCCAGCTGGGGTTAAAACACAACAATAAGTTTATGTTGTGTATTTATTTATTATTCTCACTTATTTCTGGTTTATTTGAAATGCTTCTAATGCATTTGAAATGGTTCTACTGGGATTATTTTTTGAATAGTCATAAAATGAGTGAGAAAGGGCAAGAAATAGTATGTATTTTAACATTTTCTGAATTTCTTTTGTTTCTGTGAGTATATTAATGTCAAACTTCCCACAGAAGAAGCCTTCATAGACTATTTCCAGGATTATGCAGTTGCAAGACAGTTTTAGATGGCACTATAGTAGATTATATGAATAAAACATAAAATGTGCAGTAGAAACTGCACATTTTCAATGGACATTCAGAAGGAATGTCCCTTGATGACAGTGAATTCTAAAATCAAATTATAATTATGTAGAGAAATACCCATAGAGGCTCCTAAAATATAATCAACATAAACAAATAATTGAGAAACCACTCAATATTTAGAAGCTCTTTAGTATCTCATCATTTAAAGACATGCCAGTAACTTCTCAATTTCAAATTGTATTTGTAGACAATTAATAACTATCAGTTTGGGCATGTAAGTCTTCTTTCTTCATAGAACTGCCTATAATAGTCTTTTTTTTTTTTCCTAGTCTCTTTTTTTTTTTTACTGAAACTCCTCTGTAATAGTGAATTCCCTTGAATTTATTTATAAAATAGAGTAAAAAATGTTTGCCATAAATTTGATATGACAATACTCATTTATACTCCTTTAATACATATTTTTAACAGTACAGAAAAAAAGGGGGGTTATGGTTAGGCCTTTTAACTGGCTTTCAGTGACATAGTACTAAAGTAAAACTAAGGGAAAAGCTGCATGTATCATTTAGTAAAAGTAACGTTCACCCAATGCAGAACACTTTCTATTACTTTAACTATGGCTTAATTGTAGAGAGCAGAAGGGAACAAGCAGTTAAAATCTTGATCACTGAAACACGCATGAACATATAGCAAAATTATAAACACAGGTGCCTATCAGCTGCCAACTTAGTGAAACAAATACCATAATTAAAATAAATCAGCAAGACTAAATCAGAATCAAAGGTGTCAAACATCTCACAGAGTGACAGATAGCTTTCATTTATTAACCTTTAGTCTCACAGTAAAAAAACAAAAAGTATTTTCTTGCAGTAGGTGTACTGATCTTCTACACGCAAGAAGCCTTGGTAAATGACTCGATTTAGGCCTTTCTTTGAGTCATAACATTGATAAGCTCATGAATTTTTTGATGGCAAATTACTTTACTCTGACTTGATATGATGTCCCCACCACTGGGGAAGTTTTGCTACCAGCATTTTCAGTTCGCACTGCAGGATGTGCAGGAAGAGTTAGGTTGGTTTCCTTAAGTTGGAAGAGCAGGAATCTGGATCAGAACGATGCCTTTGGGAAGGCAAGCGTAAAGACCCACTTTGCCCAAAGCAGAAGTGCGGTGTAATCTGCTGCCACAGCCCTAAGTCTTAGGATCCATAAAACCACAAGGGATCATTATGACCCTAGTTACAGATGTTTTCCTAAGAGGTTTTGTGTACCTGGAGCTAATGAGTGAAGG